TGTACATATGTGACATCAAGTCCTAACCAACTCCCCTTCCCATAACAATCTGAGTTCCAGTTTTGATCTCTGGCATCTCCAGTTAAAAACAGGCAAGCAGTAGGTGATGTGAAAGACCTCTGCCTGAGACCCTGGAGAGATGCTGCTGGTCTGAGTAGACAATACTGACATTGATAGACAAATGATCTGATTCAGTATAAGGCTCCTTCCTTCCTTCCTTCCTTCCTTCCTTCCTTCCTCTTCCTTCCTTCCTTCCTTCCTTCCTTCCTTCCTTCCTTCCTTCCTTCCTCTACTCCTCTGACCTATAGGTCTTATGTAGTTTTTATCAGACATGACTGGGAATATGAGGAAGAAAGGAAGTTAATACATAGGCTACAAAAACAGCTGTTTTCTAAGTTGCCTGAATTCTCATGGCCTGAACTAAAAATTTACCTAAAATGAGTAAATTTTCTACTCTTGAGTCTGCTAATCGTTTAGGAACTATAATATCCACTGAAGACTCTGTCCATTGTAATGTCAAAGGTTTAATCAATGTCTGTCTCAGCTCGTTATACCAGGGACATTCAAATAAAACATAACTGACATAGCACCTAAGCCACAGCAACAATATCTGTTTGAGAAAGGTATGCCCAATATGCAGCCTCTAAGACAGCTTCATATGTCTGCAGTTAACCAACACGATGACCACAGCAAGGGGCTTTCAAGGCAAGTGAGAAGCAGAGGTGGTATGCCATTGGCTGTCTCTCCACAGTCTTCCTTGGTGGCCTCTCTTCCAAGTACTGAGCCTGCTTAGCTTCTGAGATCTGACAAGAGCAGGCTATACCATACCATTACACACCCCAAGGTCCTATACAGAAGAAGAGGAGGAGGAGGAGGAGGAGATTGGATTTATACCCCGCCCTTCACTCAGAGTCTCAGGGTGGCTTACAATCTCCTTTCCCTTCCCCTCCCCACAACAGACACCCTGTGAGGTAGGTAGGGCTGAGAGAGCTCTGAGAGAACTGCTCTTGAGAGAACAGCTCTAAGAGAACTGTGACTGATCCAAGGTCACCCAGCTGGCTTCATGTGGAGGAGTATAGCTGGAGCCATTTGAAAAATGGAATACATTTATTGAGGCTATTACTGTAACATACCAGCAACTTTCTCTCTTGCATTTTTTGAACTTTTGAAATCAATTTGGAGTAGCATTGTTATGGGGAGGGGAGTTTCTTGTCCCCAAAATTCTCTTTTTTAGATACAGCCATTGATCTCTCTCATTTTTTTTCTTTAAAAGAAGGGTTTTTCTCTCATTTCTCTTTGAGGACAAATCAATGCGCCCTTTTATAACTTAACCTTTTCAGTTTTATGGTACACACCTCGGCAGTGCTCTAGTAGGAAGGTTTCGGAAGGCGTTACCTACCTCTGAGCACCTACAGCAGGCGTTTCCAATTTTTTTTCAACCTGTGAGCACCTTTGGAATTCTGAGGAGTGGTAAGCATCATCCCAAAATGGCCACCACAGAAGGCAGAGCCTTTTTTGCTTTGCAAAAAAAATTGCTGAAGGGGAATAAAAAGAAGGAAACCCTGGAGGGGAGTGAAACCATGAGTATGAATGCTTACTAGTCCTTCCGGAGAGCCAGTATGGTGTAGTGGTTAAGAGTATGGACTCTAATCTGGGAGAACTGGGTTTGATCCCCCACAGCTGCTAGTGTGACCTTGGGTCAGTCACAAGTTCTTTCAGAGCTGTTCTCTCAAAAGCAGTTCTTGGAAGAGCTTTCTCAGCCCTATGTACTTCACAGGGTGTTTGTTTTGGGGAGGGGAAGGGAAAGGAGATTGTAAGCCGCTTTGAGACACCTTCAGGTAGTGAAGGGCGGGGTATAAATCCAATCTCCTTCTCCTCCTCCTTCTTCTGATCCTTCAGTGGCAGCTGCTGCTATTGCATCCATAGGAAATAGTTTCATTTGACTGAGGGCACTCAGTAACAAACCCTGCCTTACAATGTCCCCATCCACTTTTTAAAAAGACTGGCAGGCACCATGACACCAGTGGGTAGTGCATTGTGGTATACTATCCATAGTAGACAATCAGAGAGACTCTCTGCTTTGGGTTCCTATATGTACCAGCCAAGGTGACTACTACTTGCATACGTTTTACAAAAGCTTCTGCCATAGTCAGTTTAAGGTACCAAAGATTTTTTCTTTTTTAGTTTTGCTTATACCCAGAATTGCTAAACAGGTTTGTGTTCAAACAGAGGGTCCATATTTTCAGACAGGAATAAATAATACAGATTTAAATATATTCACTTGCTGTGTTCTGGTTGTTTTTTCCTAGCAAAATTTGATTATTATTTTTTTGCCTTCTAATTTATTTATTAGGGACTGTGATTACTGGTGCTTACAGTTTTTCATCTTTTTATGCATTAGTAAGAGATGACCTTGCCTTTCAAAAGGAATGCTGTCAGGTTCAATGACCTCCTATTGGTTTTACTTTCCCAATCTCTGTCATCACCCTTTTATAAGCTGTAAAAAAGAAAATTCATTGTACCATCTTTTTTCTCTTTCAGCAAGCACAGCAGAATTTAGACAAGAAACCCCACATGGGTATAGCATTTGTGGAGAGAATGTAATTGAAGTGGAAGGGAGGGTATCTGTACGTGTTTGGGTACGTTTGTGTCTTGTGGTGTAAAATATGACATATTTTTGTATTTTTTTCTAATGGTGTTTTATGCCCTCTAGTGGAGCATTTGATCATTGCAGAACATTAATTTTTCTCTGCCGCAGCAACCTGATAAATTGGATTCATTCCTGACGCAAAAGATTTAAGAGTTTCCCTGCAGTATTTAGTGTCCATTATTTTAACTTATTAAATTAAATAGAAAAGGTATCTGATGTACTCTCTGTGGTGAAATGTCACTTCCCTCCAGGTATCTGTATTGCTTTGCATGGTGATTTTTGAATTTGCACTCTGTGCCATCTCAGAGGTTAACCATATCTTTACAGGTAGGCCAAGGGTTGCAGAACAATTTCTCCTTCTAGCTTCCAGTGTGCAAAACCTGTTTAAGGATGTGTCAATTCATATGCTGATAAAGTTAGCAAGAAAAGCAATAGCCTTGTACTTGGGGCCTGGGGGACAGCATGCATTCAGTGAAGGTAGCAGGAATCCTCTTTTCCACTAGGTAGCACAGGAGAGGGTCTCACAGACTACCGAGAATATTTAGAATCCTTTTGGAGGGTTGAGGTGAGTCTGACCTCGAGGGGGAAGAGGCCTACAAAGATGACAGGGACACAGACTGTCATGAACAGAATCCGTGTGGAAACTGGAAGTCTGCCTGTCTCTTAATTTATCACCATGAGGGTTAGTTTTAGACCTAGGGGAGAGGATGTCTGTATCACTCACTTTCGTTATTTTCCTTTGCTTCAGTATTGGTGGTCAATGGTTGCTCAGTCGTATGCTTTTTATTTTTGTAACCAATTGCTGTTTGCACAAGCAAAGTTACATTTTTTCTTTTTCTGAAATTGGTATTATGTGGTCAGTCTCCACACCCACTCATAAGAGCCTAACTTGGTCATGCTTAACAGGATACAAAGAGAAGACAAAGAGAGGCCTTTCAGTAACTCTAGCAAGTGAGATTTTTGAGGTTTTCCTCTGCCTCCATTGTGCTTTGGAGTAAGAGAGCAATTCTTAATTTGAAGGACAGTCTGTTAAGAGACACTGGGCTGGAGGTTACCAGACAAGAATACCACTGACTCCCAACCTGTTGGTGGCAGCAAAGAAGGAAATCTGTAGGTGGCGGAGGATGGTTGAATAAAGCTGGAGACCCTCACTAAGGTCCAGTGACTTGGGACCAGGGCCAACTGAGTAAAATGTCATTTCCCCTGTGGCAGAGCAAGGTGTCTATAGAGAGTCTTTTTGCCACCCTGATCCCTATCTAAGGAAATGAGCAACATTGATTTCAATTACTGCAAGTAAGTGTACCTGAATAGAAATTAACCTCCATATAGATACTGTGTCATATATTACGACAACATGTACAAGTGACCATAAATGACAAGAGATTTTTTACCTCCATCTAGGGTTGCCAGGTCCCCCCTGGCCATTGGCAAGGGGAATGGGAGGTGGGGTTGCCAGATCCAGATTGGGAAACTCTTGGAGACTTGGGGATGAAGCCCAGGGAGGACAGGGACCTCAGTGGGGTACAATGGCCATAGAGTCCACCCTTCAAAACATTCATTTTCTCTAGGGGAACTGATGAGATGAGCTGTAATTTCAGGGGGTCCCCAGGTCTCACCTGGAAACTGGCATCCCTACCTCCATCTGGCTATAGTTGTGGAAGAGTCTTGTCATGTGTAACAACCGATGCTGCTATATGGGGAAGCACATATCCGTTTACCTCCTAAGACCCATTCAGTAGTGCCCAGATGATGGATGTAGTTGTGGATCCAGACACATCTCTGTTCTCCTGCTGGCATGAAAAGCTTCTCATACATAAATTCTTGCAGGGTCAGGATGATTGCTATTATGTCGGATGGGAAATTTTCTCTCCATCAGCTTTCTCATCACCAGGCATAATTTTAGAGACCTCTATTGCATCCGTCTCTTAGTGGGTTGTTTTTCATGAACCAAAACGTGTAAGCACTTCAGTCTAGGATAAATGCCTGATTTCTTTAGGTACTTATTAATCAGGCAAGGAGAAATCCTTATTTGCATAGAGTTTTCACCCTCTAAAATGTTTGCATTCCCCCACCTCACCATTAATTCCCATCCTATTCAGTGTGGCAGCTAAATTCCTCATGCAAGATACAAAGAAGGCCGCATATTTGGGATGCAAACATGGCAGGCTCTGTGAACTTATCAGTAGCTAACCTGATGCTCTGAAAGCTGACACAAGTGATATGAAGTATGGGAAAGTAATTGCAAACAGAAAGGAAAAAGTACTCTGACTGTTTTAAGTAAAGCTCTAACATGGGAAACATAATCTTTAAACAGATTTTTGTTGTTGTTGTTTTTTTGTTTAAATCCCAGGTATGGTGACATGGTGCCGAAGACCATAGCTGGCAAGATATTTGGCTCGATTTGTTCCTTGAGTGGGGTCTTAGTCATTGCCCTTCCAGTTCCTGTTATTGTGTCCAACTTCAGTCGCATCTACCACCAGAACCAACGAGCAGATAAGCGCAGGGCACAAAAGGTGCGCTCCCCATTTCCATTCCACACTCTGGTTTGGCATGGAGTAGACAGGCGGTTCTTCTGTTCACTGTCTTGTTATCAAACTCAGTTTTATCTTTATTTGACAGGAAACCCATTATCACTTTAGAACACTGATATGAAGTATACCAAGTTGAGACTAATTCCAAAAGGGTAGCCGTATCAGTCTGTTGCAGGAAAACAGAGCAGAAGTCCAGTGTAACACTAAAGACTAACAGCAGCTATACTGCTGTCTAGTTTCAGGGGGGTAGCCATGTACCATCTTATGGTGCTGGTACAGCCAACATATGGCAAACTTGCAGGGTTTTCAAGGCAAAAGAAGTTCAGAGGTGGTTTGTCATTGCCTTCCTCTATGTAGCTTATACTGTGGGGAATTTTGTTGGTCTTTATGGTGCTACTGGACTTGAACATTTATTCCAGTATAAGCTTTTGCCAGTCAGAGCTCACTTTACCAGCTGCATGTTGCACCTGCTGAAGTCAGCCATGACTCACAAAAATTTATGCAGTCTTTTATAAGGTACAAGAAAATAAAGAGCTGCACCAGTCACAGGAGATAAAAAATAGGGCCAAGGCTGATGGTGCAAAATCGGGTAAAATATATTTTATTACTCAGATTTCTAAAAATTCCCTACGTGTTTCACCAACAAGCTTTGTCAGGGGAATATGTTTGTTTTGCAGTAGTTCCTCAAAAAAGAGTAAAAGATCAGTAGGTACTGGCCCTATTTGTTATCGTCTTTTATAAGGTGCCATTGGATTTCTGTTTCATCTAACTGAGAATAGATCTCAGTTTTACCACGAAGAAGTAACAACATTGTTTTACAAATAATAAAATTGAAAACACACATTCTACATTAATGCAGATATTAAATAATATGTGATCTAAAAGCCATATAAGATAGAGCTGAAACAATCACTTAATGTGCTCAAAAATAAGGTATAAAAGTGTTGGGTGACACAACTTATAGGTTTTAAAAGATAATGGGGTGGATCCAATGGTTCTCTTTTGCTAGGTGAGGAATCATTTGCTAGAAGACCCTTCTCAGACAAAGATGCCTTTCCATTTGAAGAAGTCTCCCTCTGTTGAGAAATATTCCTTCCTTCCATGGAAACACTCACTTAGTAGAAGGAAATTCTTGGGTCCAATATACTTTTCAATGGTTTTATATGTGATTTTTATGAATTTTTGACATGTATTTTTACTTTTAAAAATTGCAAATACTGTTTTTTTGAAATATAGAATTTTCATGGCAAGGGATGTTTATCTGGATGGTTTAAGAACAATCCCCTGCATATCTGTGAGTGATCTCAATTGAAAACAGTGGTATTTAGAAAGTATGGATAGAATCAGTGGACTTCAGCCAGCTGAATTAACTTAGATTGTTTATGTCGTTGAAAGTGTGACAGTGCCATCTAGGGTTGCCAGGTCTGGGTTGAAAAATACCTGGAGACTTTGGGGGTGGATACAGGAGAGGGTGGAGTTTGGGGAGGGGAGGGGCCTCAGCATGGTACAGTGCCATAGAGTCCACCCTTCAAAGCAGCCTTTTTCTCCAGGGGAGCTGATCTCTGTCAGCTGGGGACCAGTTGTAAAAGTGGAAGATCTCCAGGCCCCACCTGGAGGCTGGCAACCTTAGTGCCATCCTAAGCAGAGTCACGCCCTTCTAATGTTATTAGTTAGTTTCTTTGCATTATTTATCTACTTACATTATTTATCATCCACCTTGCTCACTTGGACTCAAAGTGTATTACACAGAATGAGTTAATACAGTCGACAGAATGGGACATTAAATAAACAATGCAAAAGGATTAGGGTCGTAGAACTAACCGGAAGTCTAAAAACAGAACTGAAGCAAAGCATAAGTATAAACAACATGACACATTAAATGAAGAAAAATTCCATAGAAGAATCTTAGTTTCAGCAAGCTATATGCATTAGTATAGACTACAGTCCCTAACAATTGTTTCCAACAAGTAAACTTTGTGAATCATTTAGTACAGTGAAGTTCTATTGCCTGTCGAAAAGCCCTCTTGAATAATTCAGTTTTGCATCGTTTTCAGATAGCCAAGAGTGTGGGAGCCTTCTGGACCTCCCCAGGCAGGCTATTCCATAAGGTGGGAACCACAAGAAAGAAAGCACACATATGGGCAATGGTTGATTTTGCCCATTTGCAGGCTGGCACCTGCAGAAACCCCTGTTGACATGAGCAGACTTGTTGTGGTGGAGCATAGAGAAACAGGCAGTTCCGTAAATAAGAGGGACCAAGACCATGAAGGGCTTTGTATGTGACAGCTAATACCTTAAATTGAGCCCAGTAACAGATGGGCAGCCAGTGAAGTACCTGCAGGATGGGAGTAATATGCATGCTCCATCTAGCTCCCAGTAACAGCTGAGCTGCAGCATTCTGGACCAGTTGGAGTTTCTGAATTGCTTTTGAGTGGAGACCAATATACGGTGCATTACAGTAGTCTAGTCTCGATGTTACTGTGATGTGGATCTCGGGTGGTCAGATCAGCCATACAAAGTAAGATGGCATTTTTCAGGCTAGGCTGAGTTGAAAGAAAGCCTTTTGCAACTACGGCCCCGGTCACACGGGCCGGATATCGCGGGGGGGGAGGCGTGACTAATTGCCCCAGAGGAAACTAATGCCCAGCCGCCCGAGCACATGTCCCGGTCGAGGTCCCAAGGTTAGGGGGGAGATGCCAACCAGATGGGTATCTGACCAGACGAGTATCCTGCAGCGCGGCAGAGAAGCCGTGCCACGCGATCACACTAGCAGTTGCTCTTTGTGCGCATGCGCTGTTGGGCGCTGTTGCGCAACCTGCAGAGATGGATGCCGGATGCCACGTAGGTCCACCAGAAACACCAGACGCCCGCCTTTGGCCCGCGGTTTCCGGAAACTAGTACCTCATAGGGGCCCTGGTCACACGGCAAAGTTGCCGCAGGAGAGGCACGGGAGTCCCGCGGATTTTCCAGGTGCGATCACACCCCAACATCTGGGAAGCGCAGTGCTCCCGTGACGAACCCATGGCTCCCCACCGAAGGTGCGGATTAAAAAACTAGTACCTATGAGGTACTAGTTTCCAGAAACGACAATGTCCTTCAAGATCTCTGCCTTCCCAACCAGCATTACTTCTGTCTTTTCTGGGTTTAGTTTCAATTTGTTCTTAGCCAATTTATCACAGCTGCCAGACAGTTATTCAGGGCCTCTACCACATCACTGGGGGATTTGGGTAAGTATATATAGGACTGGGCAGAATCTGCATATTGATGACATCCAGCCCCAAAGCTACAAATGATTCATCCCAAGGCTTTTACATAGAGATTGAAAACATGGGGAATACAATAGTGCTGTAGAATTCCACAGGATAGGTCCCACACTGATAACAATTGGTCTCCCACAGCAAGTGAATGGCCTTTGAAGGGTGTTAACTCTGCTTAGGATGGTATTGTGAGAGCATTTTATATTTTTACCATGGACTCAACATTTATCCTTTAAATCTCTTACTCTCAGTCTTCTTTCCAATTTTGCATTCACTCATTCATGAGACTTCCATGAAACGCTTAATCTCTGGCTAGCCACGGAATTATGAATAGACTAGCCCTCTGAATCAACAGGAATCAATTTCCTTCTAAATGAGAATAGGAAACTTTAATTAACAACTCACAAAATCTTGTTTTCCAGAAGCCTCCAGTGGGATTCTTTTAATAAAATGTGCCATGACCAGGAGCTTAAAGAAAAAGTGACTATTACGACCAATTAAGCCTAGCCCTTCCATAATATTGTGATCTATTAAGATTCTTTGCTTTACATTGCTTTAATTTATTTGCCATTGCTGATTTTCTGAATGATTATGAAAACGACAAGAGGCTAAGTTATCCATCCTGTCCTGTGTCCAATTCAGGACATAAATTGATCTATTAAGCATCACTTTGGACATTTAATATGGGAAATAATGTATATGCATTGCATAAATACACACTAAGTACCACTTAGACAACAATTCCTTGAGAATCTGTGAATCCTCCATTTGTCATATGCACACATCGCTGTGAACAGATAAGGGAAAGAAACTTTTTATAACTTGATAAGATTCATAAAATATCTGAGTAAATCTGGACCTAGAAATATTATACCATGAGTAGTTCCATGGGAAAAATATAAATCTGTATTCTCAGCTACATGCCTTATATTTTGCAGAATTTTCACTTCTACCTTTTCTTTCCTGATAGGGCTCTGTCCTTTTAAACATAGTGAAAGCTAATAATAATAAACTTGGAGTTTTGATAACATTGACTATGAATTAAGATGGAGAAAGAAAAGGAGTACCCAAAAAGCTCTATTCTTACAAGATGGGACTTTCCCACCTCCCTCATCACAATGACTCAGTCTGGGGACCTTTTGGAAAAACATGAGATGAGGCACCTGGGGGTGGGGTGGTCAGCAAAAATCAGGACTTCCCCCCCTGAGGTGTTTTGTACAAGGAGACCCCTGGATATGTCCAGACTTTCATGCCCAAACTGTATGTATCGGATATCCATGCTGTTCAACATTTATCAAAGGTATATGACCCATGCATTTTATATGAAGTAAACTAAGTGCTTACAGTATTTTAAGCAAGCAAAATGAGGTCTAATTCCATGGGTCTGTTGGTATGTCCAACCTTAATCTTTGCAACCCATTTTTCCAGCTACCTAAAAAAGTATGCATTCATATTTAACAACTTTCTTCCAAAATACTAAGGTTGGAGGGGTTGTTTTTTTGCTTTTTTGTTTTAGAATTAATTATATTGGTGTTGAGAGCCAGTTTGGTGTAGTGGTTAAGTGCGCTGACTCTAATCTGGGAGAACCGGGTTTGATTCCCCACTCCTCCACTTGCACCTGGCTGGATGACCTTGGGCAAGCCGTAGTTCTGATAAGAGCTGTTCTTGAAAAAGAGCAGTTTCTGTCAGAGCTCTCTCAGCCCCACCTACCTCACAGGGTGTCTG